AATAAATTTTGAAAAATTTATTCTGATTTTCGGCAAATAAAAGTGGGGCGTTACAGGACTGGACATGAATAGTTGCACTAACAATCTTAAAAATGAATTATTGTAAATAAATCTAAAATTAAATAGTGTATAAATATTTTACAAAATATAAACACATGTTTTTTAGAATTTATTTTTGGATAGTAATTAGAAAACTTTTATTTAGTAATTGCGCCAGAAACTCAATCGCTTCAATAATCAAAATTTTCGATTTTGCATTATAAGAATTTATAGTTTATTTAGCATACTGTAACGCCCCGATTTTATTCAGTAGACATCTCGAATTATTATTATATTATGCATTTTATTGTATTTTATTTTCTTAGCTCGACCATTAAATTTGATTAATTAGACGTGAGTGTCTATTTAATCAATTGAGATAAATAATTTATTTAGACCTTTTCGTCTAATTAAATTATTCCAGAGTTTAGCCAAGTTTAGAATTTTCCAGTATAGAGAGGGAGAGCCGATTATTAGCCTTATTATGTTTCCGGTCTTATAAACCGATTTTCATTCGGTCTTTTGATTCGTCGAGCCGTCCCTTGTGATTTTATATAACACCAATATTATTTGTTAAAAACAAATAATTCTCTAGCATCTTGTTTAAACTTTGAGAGGCTAGAATCAGATTTTAAGAGCCTCCCAAATACTTGTATTTTCGGGACCAAATTATTTGAATTGAAATCAAATAAATTCTTAGCATAGTTGGACGGTTTGTGCGTGACATGGTCAGCCTTAGGAGCTGATTTTTAGCTCACGTCTAACGCATATCTCTCCACATCAAGCAACGGACATTATCTTGTTTCCGCCTTATAACTCTTCGATCTAACTCTCAGCAGAATTCATTTTTCACGCCCCATAATCCGTTCAGAATTTCAAAGAGAAAACCCTCAGCTTATCCTTTTGTTTTTCGCCGCAATTAACCGGGCAGAGAGATAATTTCTCTTCATCATCTCATCATCACAATCGCAACCCATCCCAGCCTTTTATTACCGAAACAAATGAGAATCGGACCTAAGACGGTCGATTGTATTTTTATTGGATATGCATACAATAGTACTGCATATAGATTTCTGGTTCATAAATCAGAAATCCGGAGGTATCGGTTGGTACCACTATTGAGTCAAGGAATCCTATATTCTTCGAGAATATTTTTCCTTCGAAGGAAATGGCAGAATCTAGTTCTAACAAAAGGACGTATGAAACTGCTAGAAGTTCTGTACCAGATGATACTAAAGATAAAGAAGAAGAACCGAGATGTGGTAAAAGGGTAAAAACGACAAAAAAAGTTTGGACCTGATTTTATTACGTATATGTTGGACGATGAACCGAGTTCCATTAAGGAAGCTCTGTCTAGCCCAGATGGACCACTCTGGGAAGAAGCTATAAATAGCGAAATCGAGTCCATTATGTAAAATCATACTTGGGAGTTGGTTGATCTCTCTGCGGGTTGTAAATCTTTAGGATGCAAGTGGATCTTAAAAAGAAAATACAAAGCTGATGGAAGGATTAATAAGTTTAAAGCAAGATTAGTGGTCAAAGGCTTTAAACAAAAAGAAGGGTACGACTTCTTTGATACTTATTCACCTGTGACACGTATAGCGTCAATTAGAGTGCTTCTCTCGATTGCTGCTTTGCACAATCTTGAGATTCATCAAATGGATGTCAAAACGGAATTTTTGAATGGTGAATTAGAAGAAGAGATTTACATGGAACAACCCGAATGTTTTGTAGCACCTGGACAAGAGAAAAAGGTGTGCAAATTGATCAAATCCTTGTACGGACTTAAACAAGCTCCGAAACAATGGCATTTGAAATTTGATGACGTGATGTTGTCAAATGGATTCAAAATCAACGAATGTGACAAATGTGTTTATGTTAAAAACATATCAAATACATATGTAATAGTATGTCTATATGTAGACGATATGTTGATCATGAGGAGTAGCCATGACGTGATCATGGATACGAAACGAATGTTGAAAAGAAATTTCGACATGAAAGATATGGGTTTAGCTGATGTAATTCTTGGAATAAGAATTATCAGAACCCAAGATGGAATTGTCTTGTGACAATCTCATTACGTAGAGAAAGTGCTCAAGAAATTTAATGCCTATGAAGGTCCTTTGTCTAGGACACCCCTTGATCTTAGCATAAATCTGGAAGCCAATAAAGGTCAACCAGTTGCTCAATTGGAATATTCACGGATAATAGGGAGTCTAATGTACTTGACGAACTGTACACGATCAGACTTGGCATATCCGGTGAATAAGTTGAGTAGATTTACGAGCAATCCCAGTCATGAACACTGGAATGCTTTGAAAAGGGTACTGAAGTACTTAAAGTACACCCTTGGATACGGGATAAAATACTCGAGATATCCAGCAGTACTTGAAGGATATTGTGATGCAAGCCGGATATCGGATTCGAGAGATTCTCACTCCACAAGTGGATATGTCTTCTGTATCGGAGGAGGAGTTGTTTCGTGGAAGTCCACAAAACAAACATGTATAGCTCGGTCAACCATGGAGTCAGAGTTCATCGCTTTAGATAAAGCTGGTGAAGAAGCCGAGTGACTTTGAAACTTCTTATCTGATATTTCATGTTGGAATAAACCTTTGTCGCCTGTGATGATTCACTGTGATAGCCAAGCTGCTATAGGAAGGGCGCAAAGTAACATGTACAATGGTAAGTCTAGACATATTCATCGTAGACATAATACCGTTCGCCAATTGATCACAAATGGTATTATTTCCATTGACTACGTAAAGTCTAAGGAAAATTTGGCTGATCCTTTTACTAAAGGATTGAATAGAGATCAATTGGGAATACTGCTAGAGGAAATGGGATTAAATATCCACAATGAAAAGAATGATCATAGTGGGAACCCTACCTTACTGAATGAAGATCCCATAAACTTGGTTCAAGGGGAAAACTAAACCATGAAAATTCAACGAAGCACTTGGAACATTAGAGTGTCCAAATCTATTCCCTAAAAGGAATCCAAATGCAAGATTACCTGTTGATTGTGGTGAGGGTAAGTCATCTGGACTTTTAATGAATCCCTAACCTTTTAAAGGTGGAGTAATACAGGATACTCTTGACAGGGAGGTCACCTATATAAGTGTAATACCCCATTCGATTGTGGATTATTGGTGTTATTATTTATTTTCTTTATTATTATTATTATTTCTGCTCCTTATATTATTATTATTTGCTAATGTGATTATTATTATTATTAATACTATTATTATAATTGAATGTCTATATATATATATATTATTTATCAAATTGTAATTATTTGTCTAAATACATATTTTTATTAGTAATATTATTATTTTGATATATTATTGTGTGGCATATATGTATATATATATATATATATATATATATTTATATATATATTCCGTTAACATATTCGTCGTCGCGCGATTTGTTCGATGTTATTCCTCGGATATAAATCTTGTCCCAATTAGAATTTAATTCCAATACCTTTTACTATGTTATGGTTATGGACCCAATGTTTAATGTTGTGTCTAGCCCAAACTGGTAAGTAGCCCATTTGGCAATAAATCTTCTTGGCCCACATCTTTATCATTCGTGAAATTGAGCAGAGGGGATATTTTCTCTTCTCCCAGCGACTCGGCCTCCTCTTATCATCACGCTTGAATGTTAGTTCCGATTTGGACGTGAGAAATCTCGCACGTTCCCTCGTCTACCTCGTGTACATCATCCTTGTTCAGATCAAAATTTCTTCTTCATCTTTCACCTATCTCACCTATCTTTCACCTGCAAATTCCGGCGACCTCCACCATCCTCGCTGGTGTCTCTTGTTGTAGCAGCCCTCATTGTCGTCTGTCGAGAGAGAAGTCGCACTCTCTGTTCCAACCGCTACCTTCCTCGCTGCAAGTTTCATATTTTTCCGACAACTTCTCCATCCTCCATTTATTCCGGTGAGCACCTCCGAGCAGCCCCGCCGTCGCTCCAGCGAGCCGCAGTTCGTGAGCAGTCCCTGTGTTCAGAGTTTCGAGTCCCGTCGAGACTCCGTTCGTCCCGTCTCGTTCCGACCCGTTTTTCCGATTTCTCGTAGATTCCCGAAGAAAGGTATCGGTTGAACCCTCTTTAGTTTATTGCTGCGAGTTGTGATTGATGGTTGGCTATGGTGCGTTGATTCGGGTATCGTTGGACGATCAGTTTATATATTTTTTTGGTGTGTTTATTCGCTGTGGTTTTCGTGAAATTTTCGTGAATTGGAACTCTGGTTCATATCTGGAGTCTCTTTAATTTTGTTGTGTTGAATTCGTGTAATTTCAGTGTCTCGTTTTTATTGTTTCGAGTCTTGTCGTCGTTGTCATGTTATTCGTTTGTTTCGAACTACGTATTGTCGTTTCAACTTTCGACCCGGCTTTAAACAATTTTCAAGACCTTGTAAAAGTGTTATTTTCGTAGATGTTTTATATTCGTGACCCGGTTGCCATTGGTGATGTCATAGTCGGGTTCGAAATTGATCAATGTGGCAGAATTCTGTTTTGCATATGCTGTTTTAGTCTCTGTTCTGTAGCCTCTGTAGTCTACTCAAATTCTGTTCAGGTCCCAAGTTTTACCTTTTGAATGTTTCGTTTTCAATATTAATCGCAAACATGCCTGTGGTGCAGTGGTGACACTGCTCAATGTTGTGGAAGAGGTTCAGTGTTCGGACCTTTGGGCCAGCGTTCTTTCATTTTTTTTCCCAGTCTACCTTACTATTAAGGTGCGCGGGCTTCTGGCCCGCATTTCGGCCCGCGCGGCCCGAATTCTCTCTCAGCAGTTGGCCCGCGGGTGGCCCAGTCTCGGCCTGCGTCCTGCAGGCAATAGGTGCGGCCCAAATTGCTTATTGTTGCCCAATTTCGTTGGAGCCAGGCCCAATTCCGGGCAGATGCAGCCCAATTCGGCTTTTAACCAAAATTTTGTGTTCCGGAGCCGTTTGAGTACCGATTTAAATTTTAAAAATATTTTACAAATGAGAAAAAATTTTGGAAAAAATTATTTTAAGTTCCGAGACCCCAATTTACTTCTCCGAGTCATATTTTTTCAAAAATGAGAGAGTTCCAAGTCCACGAAAAATTCGATTAAAACCCGTAAATCTTAATTTTTATTAAGTATGGGTTTGATGTTAAATTCGAGTAGTGAGATAAATTATTGATAAATTATCTCGCTTAAATGTAGGTGTTTGAGAAGCCGAGCCTTATCCTACGTACTTGCTTTTGTGTGCCATTTCCTACCGAAAATTCCAGGTGGGTTGTAATTGTAAAATTTACTATGCCTTAAATGTTATTACTGTTTTAATTGTGGTATGATCAAGGTATGCATGTGAATCATGTAGCCTTCGGTGTGAGCTGTATCGGCCACCGGACGGTTGTCCCCGTAGCTATAGAACGTACCTTCTGGTAGTCTCCCTTGAGAAGCCGTAAGACCAGCGCTTAGGTCCCTCGGCCGGTGATCCTCATTGGTAAGTCCAAGGCAAGACCTTGGCCGGTGGGGTGGTTTACTCCTACTGGCTGGCACTCGATGTAGGACCGGAGGACATTCGATATATAGTCAGCAGTAGTCTATGCGTAGGTGTGCACATGAGTCTTATTATTGTATTATTGATGGGAGAATGGGATAGATTATTGCTTCGTATACATGCTGAGACCATACCTTTTGATTATTGATTACTGTTAATTATTGACATTAATATTTATGGCATAGCGGTGAGCACTACTGTTTCCTATTGTGCTCATCCCCACCTGCTCTTCATGGATGCAGGTTAGATAGAGCGGCACGACGGAGGGGATGCGAGTGGTGGTCTTTAATTTGAATAAATGCTTCCGCTTTGAACTGAATTTGGATATTATTGCATTATTATTGACTATTGTTTTCTAGTATTGGATTATTGATAGGGATTATTTCCCTATGATCATTATTGGATTATTGATTGATTATTGGGATTTTCTTATTGATTATGAGTATCGATAATTGCCGAATATTGAGAAAATGTCGAGTATTGATTATTGATTTGAAAATGAGTAGCGCCTCGTATATTGTTTTTGAAATAAATTCAAAAAATTTATTTTGATTTACGGTAAATAAAAGTGGGGCGTTACAGTTTGGTATCAGAGCCAGTCTGCGTTTCTGTAGACTGGTTTAAGTATAAAAAGTTGATTATGTGATTATGTGTTTCGAATTCATGTTAAGACCACTCGCTCTCGTCGTGCCGCGCCAACTCAGGTATGAGTACCTGAATGACTTTGAGATTATTGCATATTATTTGATTATGAAATCGGGGTTAGGGCTAATACACCTTTAAATGCGAACTCTAGTGTCGAACTCTAGACTTCTTTTATTAATGTGCCTATCTTTGCGTTATGTGACACTGGAGCTACTCATTCATTTATCTCCTCTCGGTGCTTGGAGGCCCTGTCTATATATATTGTGTGCAACTGTGATCCTCTCGAGGTTAGTCTAGCCTCGGGAAAAATTATCATCTCCGATTCTTTGAATCATGGTCTTCCAGTTAGTATTGGTGGGCGTGTTTTGGAGGCCAACTGCTATGTTATTGAAATGCGGGACTTCGATGTGATCTTGGGCATGGACTGGCTCACTCGCTATCGAGTCGACATCCGGTGCCAGGAGCACGAAGTCAGTCTCTTCCCCGTTTCCGATCAGCCTGTTATTTTCTATGGGGTGAAGTCGAGGACTGTGCCTCGAGGCATCTCTTCTATGCAAGCTAGGAAGAGCCTTTCTAAGGGTAGCTGTCAAGGCTATCTGGTTTCTATGGTATCCGAGGACGATTCTGAGAGGTCCCCGGAGAGAGTCTCTATCGTCTGCGAGTATCTCGATGTCTTTTCTGATGAATTGCTTGGAGGACCGCCCGACCGCCAAGTGGAGTTTACCTTTGATCTAGTACCAGGAGCCGGCCCTGTTTCTAAGGCCCCTTATCGTATGGCGCCGAAGGAGCTTCAAGAGCTCAAGGCCCAGATCCAGGAGTTGCTCAATCTTGGTTTCATTCGTCTGAGTGTTTCGCCGTGGGGAGCGTCCGTCCTATTCGTGGAGAAGAAAGACGGATCGATGCGCATGTGTATTGACTATCGGGAGTTGAATGCCCTTACAATCAAGAACAAGTATCCCCTTCCTCGCATTGAGGATCTCTTCGACCAGTTGAGGGGAGCCAGTGTCTTTTCGAAGATCGACTTGCGTTCTGGTTATCATCAGCTGAAGATCCAGGAGTCGGATATTTCTAAGACTGCTTTTCGTACCCGTTATGGCCACTATGAGTTCGTAGTCATGCCATTCGGACTCAGCAATGCCCCGGCCGTGTTTATGGACCTTATGAATAGGGTCTTTCATCCCTTCCTGGACCATTTTGTTATCGTGGTCATCGACGACATCTTGGTTTATTCTCGGAGCATCGACCAGCATAAGGAGCATCTGAGGATTGTACTGGAGACTCTTCGCC